ATATATATATATATATATATATATATAGATAGATAGATAGATAGATAGATAGATATAAAAAGTGTGCGTGTGTGTTAAATAATAAGAAAGAACAGTAAGCCTTTATAATCCGCTGTTCTTGCAGTTATTTGTATTTTTAAAAAAACAGTACTACACACACACACACACACACACACACACACACATATATATATATATATATATATATATGGGGAAATTGTAGGCCAAATTTGAAAATGTTTACTTTTGGCGCGTTTCGTCCTTCAGGACTTCATCGGACTAAATTTGTTATGTTGGTAGGACTACACATGCGCACGATAGAGAGGTGGCGGGAAATTTACAATATTTTTTTTTTTTTTTATCTAGCCGAATTTCTTTTAACCCTTTTTATTTTTTTTTTTTACCATCATTTTTGTAATTAGGTATTTCTGAATTCGTCTAGTTCTAAAATACCCTGCACCCATCTCTCGTGCCTATGTGTAGCCCTAACAACATATCAAATTTAATCCAATGAAGTCTGAAGTAAAAAAAAAAACGCGTCACAAGTAATTTTTTTTTCCACTTTTCATACAATTTCAATAATACTGTTCTTGATATATAAAAATATATATCGTCATCTCATATATATATATATATATATATATATATATATATATATATATATATATATATATATATATATATGAAGAAATTTTGAAAAACAAACAAAAAATCCTTAAATGTAGTTAAATGAAAGAAATGTCGACGTCTGACGTTTCGGTTTATTAAACCTTTTTTTTTTTTTTGTTTTTCAAAATTTCTTCATTCTGTCGGATTTATATCCATTTACACTTGTTTATATATATATATATATATATATATATATTCAAATGTAGAAGAACGAGAAAATATAAATTCAAACGCTCATGATATTAATTTAATAAAGGGCTCAATACAAGTGTAGAGCATTATATATCATAAGCTGTTACATTAGATGCATGTTACTGCGACAAAAATGCATATTTGTTTGGTCAAGCGGTTACCAATAGTTGAACAGAGAAAAATGGCTTAATACCCAGCTACAGGTTGAACGGTGAGTAAACACTTGTAACTATTTTTATATGTACCTCGAAACTTTACATACCAATTATTTTGGCTCAGGAACTCAGGCAGAACGCTTAAAATTGTTCAGAAACGCAGGGATCAAAGGGTTAAACCTCAGCCGGAACAGGGTCAGAAGTTACCGTTAATGGTTTACCGATAACTTCCGTTACATTTTTAATATAATAACCGATCTACGGGTAAAAGATTTTTTTTTTTTTTTTTTTGGTTATGAATTGACGGTTAACGAAATTAACTTTATGATTAAAGATGCCCACCTGTAATGATTCTCAAAGTCAACTTAAAAGTCAAATCGCCAACGAAAATGACAACTTCGTTGTTTATCGGATTAACAGATCGGTACTTAGTTCTGCAATATCCTTCCAATTCTAACAGTTCTTTGTGACATACTTTATCAAAGGGTTTTGCATTATTTTTTTTTACCCCAAGCAAGGCGGGAAGCCACCAGCACGCAAGGGGTTACAGAGAGTTGGATCGAGAGCAAAAAGGAGTGATAGAGGAAAGGATGAAGAGAAAGATAGGGAATAGATCAAAGCATCTAGAGACGTCGATTGACATTGCGTTTGAATAGTTGGAGATTATGACTATCAGGGAAACAGGAAAAAGGGAAGGGAGTTCCACAGGCAAGAGCTACGAGACATGAAGCTATTGGAGTAGAAGAGACGGCTACATTTAGGAGTTTCGACAGTGAAAGGGTGAGAGCGAGATGCCAGCCTAATAAAACGCTTAAATTCATGAAGTTTGAGAACCAGCAAAAGCAGCGAATCAGTTACTGTGAAATTATTTGTAAAAAAGACAGAGGGAGGCGACGGCACGTCTGTGAGAGAGCAACTGCAGACGAGATGCCAGACCAGGGCCAATAATCTATAGAGTTACACATACTTTTGTATTTGTACCCCATTAAATAGAGGCTGCAAAAACGATTTTGTAGACGTCTCACGTGTATGCAACGTTGTAAACACGTTGCCTGTTAAGGTTTCATGAATAGAGAATTGATAATAAAATAATGGGTGAATTCATCATCTCAATTAGTGATTCTCAATTAAGAATAAAATTTGAAAAGAAAATTTATACCTTTATAGACATGGAATTAAGTGTAGAAAAATGTTCTGATATTATAACTGAGCAGCACGCAACTATCCAGCTACAGTAATTCGTAACGTTACCATAAAATTGTGACAATGTTGGAGATAAACGGTCACTTAGTGGTCGGAGAAAGAGTTGATTGTGACCTTACAGTAACGTCAGGGGGTTGGACTTTGGGGCTTACAGTACCAGGTGTTTCCAAGCGGTCCCCCATCTAAGTACTGACCTGGCTCTACGATGCTTAACTTCGGTGATCGAACGAGAACCGGTGTTTTCAGCGTGATTTGACCGTAAGCAAAGTCCAACCCTTACCTCACAGTCGGTGGGGGGGGGTGTAAACGGTAGTGTCAGAGCTATGCCGTCCGGAACTTCGTTCCTGGTAGGGCCACCCAAGGCGGACAGGTCTGACACACACGCCGGCTAACAAGGGCTCTGGTAAAAATCTGCATCGGCAACCGGCGGCTTCTGGTCGTTCCTGTCTCTGCGTCTGTTGGAACCCCGCGGCAAGCAAGAACGTTATCCGAGTCGGCCTGGGTACCCTACTTCTGTAATTTATCCCAAGAATCTTCTTCTCACAACAGGAAGAAGCCGGCTCAATCCGCCCAGGGTGAATGCCGCATCAGGTTACAGTAACGTCAGCACGACGTCAGAAAAGAAGTGTTTCAGAAATGTTGAAAAAAAAAGTAGCGGTCTCTCAGACGGGGAGAGATCGTTGAAAGTGAGGACCTTGATAAGTAAGGACAATAGTTCCAGCAGGATGGTGATCCTCTTCACACTGCTAATGTCACCAGGGTCTGAGGAGCGTCTCTGAAGCTGCAAAGCTGAAGTGGAATGGATACTTCACACGCATGAAGTGATCCCTCCAGATTTCTTCCTTTGGAGGTTTCCTCAAGGACAACATCTACCAGGGCAACCCACGCACCACTGCTGCATTGAAGGCAGCCATTGCTGAGAAGATTCAAGCGATCAACCAGGAGGAATGTCCACACGTTATCAACACCTTTGTATTCAACACTGCCTTCAACTGATCAGCGGGCAACTTAAGCATGTACTCTAGGTCTCTTCCTGACAAATTTGGTTCATGCTTGAGACTAAATGGTTGCAGATCTTAAAATGTTATATTTTTATCCTTCAATAAATGGAATTTATATTACTCTATCACTTGTGGGCCTTTATTTGTGCACGATCATTTTATTTCAAAAACAGTAAAACACTGTATTCTCCAACACAAAAATAACAAAAAAAAAAGGCATATCTATAAAGTTGCAAGAACATTACGTGTTAGCAGGGCTGGCAATATCAATGAAAACAAGGAATGATACGACCAAAAAATAAGGAATGATGCAACCAAAAAAAGATATATATATATATATATATATATATTTCTATCTATAAAAGACAGGATGTGTGTGTGTAACGAATGCACGGCCGCAATTTCCGACGGATTTGCACCAAAATTTACATGCACATGCTCCAAGTTAGCGGGAAGGCCAAGACTGACGTTGCATTTCCCAACTCCCCATCAATAGTGGAAATAATCGAATTTTCATGCTTCTACGGTAGTTTTAATGTAGTTTGTGGCTATTTTCTACTGGAAAGAGTGAGAGCCTATAGCTGGCTGCCACGAATAGGCAGGAAGATTTTATTGGCCAGCTTGAGAGCCAACAGCTGACTGACACGAATGTTAACTAGCATGCTAGCATGCAAAAAATCGATAGCTGCATTCGTCACAAGTGGGAAAAATTTAAATCTGCATGGCACTTTACTCCAATTGGCTCATTCGCTTGCTTAAACTCAACGTTGATTCCGATTCCGCAGAACTGTGTTGCGTGTGAAAATGTATTTGTTGTTAACATTCTTTTTTCATTTGGTTTTTCCAGTTACGAGTCCTTTTTTTTAAAGCTGATCGTTTTGTGTTCATTTTGTTTAGTTCTTTTTTCGTAACAGATTTAATGTTTAGTATAGAGCTTAGAAAAAATTCGCAGTGCCAGATAGGCAAGAAGTAAGGCAGGACTTCATCGGACTAAATTTGTTTTATTGGTAGGACTACACATGCACACAACAGAGGGGTGGCGGGAAGTTTAGAACGTGATTTTTTTTTTAGAGGAATTATTTTGGACTCTTTATTTCGTAAAATTTTCCTAAAATGTACACGGTCTGATGAAATGTCTATATTTATATTCATCGAAATAATATATGAATAAATTTATCAATATACTTATATTCATCGAAATAAATTTATTTCCGACTGGATTTATAAGTTTTTTCCTCATTATTATTATTATTATTATTATTGGCTCTGTATCTGTTATGATGTTGATTTGGTGTTAGTAGAGACAAACGCCAAATAACACGTAAGAATAAAAAGGGTTTTAATAGGTTGATAAAAAGGTACAGAAATCGACTGAGTAGTCAATAACTAGCTCAGCTAAGAACTTCTCTCTCTGTCTCTCCCATGTCAACTGACATGTCACTATTTAAAGTCTTTGTTCACAGATGCAGACAAGTTCATCTTCAAGAGGGGTGGTAGGTTTCCGACACAACAATATCATACATTAAACTCTCATATACACTGGAAAGTCTTCCTTGGAATAATCCATACCAATTACACGTTGGTATTATATATATATATATATATATATATATATATATATATATATATATGTGTGTGTGTGTGTGTGAGAGAGAGAGAGAGAGAGAGAGAGAGAGAATTTGTATAGGTGTTTATAGATTCGAGAGCTTGCGAAAGAGTTCTGGGATTGTCCTCTTTCACAAAATCTCGCCAAAGCCTCGAGTGTGACACTGTCGGTAAGCGCGTCTTGAAGTGGTCGCAAACTCACAATCGACCCCACTTCGAATATGTATAGATCATCAAGTTATGGATCATGGTCTATGCTTACCGTTCCCGTCGCTGAACGATATCAAGTGGCTGAAAGTGTGGACGATTGTGATCTTGTTCAAATCAGACAGCAATCACCATCTTACCTCCCAGTCAATGATGGATACTAAAAGGGGTTTTACAACTATTTCATTCTCTCCATCATTTCCTTCTCCCCTCTCTTTCTGTCTTTCGCTCATTCTCTCTCTCTCTCTCTCTCTCTCTCTCTCTCTCTCTGTGTGTGCGTGTGTTTTGACTCGAAAGCCTAAACCAACGAAAACCGCCTATTATTTCCTTTGGTGCCTCAGTGAAGTTTATACTTTTTCGTCAGGCGAGAACGGATTAACCTGATAAGTATCTTATCCCAGCAGATTAGCGATAATCTCACACGCATAATCCTGACTTGCACGCAATGTGGCTGCAGAAAAATTTATCTTCGCCACCTTTTTCTTAGTGTCGTGTGCCTCCCATAAGTTAATTGGAGGTGAAGGGATACGAGCCGTCTTCCTAAAGAAATTTGCTCCCGAGCTGGCTCTCGTTCTCTCCAAATTCCACAACTATTGCTTCGCTGCTTCCTACTTTCCAGGTTGTTCTCCACTGTAGTTCCTCTTTTTAAGAACACTGGAGAACCTTATAACCCCTTTAACTATCGCTTATTATTCTCGTACCACTCTTCGGCACTCGTGGGCGATCATGGTTCTCCATTTCCTTTCCTAATGTGTAAAGCTAAGTGAGGTTTGTCCTCTTTCTTCTCTAATCCCTGCCCTGTCAACTATTTACACAAGAACGTCAGGTAGGTGATGCTCTGCTTTCTCCCGCTCATCTTGTCTTCAACATGTCCAGTTAGAGTTCAATTGTCCCAGTCTATTTTTTTTATTATCATTTCACCCAAGCAATGCGGGAGTACGACTAGTACGCAGGGGGTTACAGAGAGAGAAAATGAGAGAAAAGACTGGGTACAAGGAGGATTGAGGAAAGCATAAAAGTTGAACGGAGTTCAAGACAGTATTTCCTCTGCCCCCCCCCCCCTAGGACGAGATGTGGCACAGGGTCTATTTTTAGGTGGGGACCCGAGCGCGTACGCCCGGGAAAGGAACAAAAATTTCCCTCAGTCCCCGCAGCCGTCGATTGCGCTGGCCTCGGTGCGAGCACCGATCTCTCCCTCTTGTGCAATGGGAGGGCGCGGCCTCGGGCAGCTGCTCCCTAGGGCTGGGCACCTCTTTAGTATAATTTTCCTCAGTTGCCCCTCTGTACTTTGACAGAGAAGCCCCTGAGCGCACTCTGTCCAAGGAGACGCAACTGAGAGATGATAAGTAATGTATACAAATTACTTTTGGTAATTCATACGATGTTTACTCATTCCCTCACGAGAATGAGATGTGCCACAAGGTCGGATTAAAGTGGGGACCCGAGCGCGTACACTCGGGCAGGGACAAAAATTCCCCAACAGCCCCCACAACCGTCGATTGCGATGGCCTCTATGCAAGCACCGATCCCTCCCTCTTGTGCAATGGGAGGGCGCGGCCTCGGGCAGCTGCTCCCCAAGGCTGGGCACCTCTTCAGCATTATTTTGCTCAGTTGCCCGCCTGTCCTTTGACAGAGAAGCCCCTGAGCCCACTCTGTCCAAAGACAGAGATGCAACTGAGAGATTATAAGTAATGTGCATAAATTACTTATAGTAATTCATACGATGGTTACTCATTCCCCCACGAGAATGAGATGTGACACAAGGTCGGATTAATGTGGGGACCCGAGCGCGTACACTCGGGCAGGGACAAAATTTCCCCACAGCCCCCGCAACTGCTCCCCAGGGCTGGGCACCTCTTCAGTATTATTTTGCTCAGTTGCCCGTCTGTCCTTTGACAGAGATGCCCCTGACCGCACTCTGTCCAAAGACAGGGACGCAACTGAGAGATTATAAGTAAACATGAACTTACTCAAAAAGAGTAAATGTGTGAACGGGGTTCAAGACAACAGAAGATGGCGACTGACGTTGCATTTGGAAGATCGTAGTTATCAGGGAAGCAAGTAAACGGAAGCCAGTTCCACAGGTGTGAAGTGCGAGAAAAGAAAATAATAAAGTAGAAGCGGCAGTTATATTTAACTATTTTAACAGTAAATGGTCGGCATCTAGATAAAAAAAAAGATTGTCAGAGCAGTTGACATGAAAATATTTGTACAGAAGACAAAGGGAAGAGACGTCAAGTCTGAGAAATTCCAAGTCAGGGTCAAGTATATTAGAGATCCTACTTTGGATTTTGTCGAGAACCTCGAGATGAACAGCAGGGACACCAGACCAAATATGGTAGCAGTATTCAATGCCTGGATGATTGTTAGATGTATAAATGTTCAAGATGGACTCTGACGCGAAAAACCTTCTGGCGCGACACAATGAACCAACTTTCCTTGCAGTAGATGCAGCTATTGATTCAATGTAGTTGTTCCATTTCAAGACAGTTAAAAAAAAAACGAGGCCAAGAAGACGCAGTAAAACGCTCACCTGAAGTCGGGCATCAGCCATACTGATGGCGGGCAAGAAAGATACTCTATGGCGGTTAAATGAGAGCGGCATTCAAAATTACAAACAAATTTCCTGCTCCAATTAACCACTGATTGGAGATCCTTTTTAGGAAAAGCGGCCAGATTAAATTTATGATCTCTGAAGGATTTTTATATTCAGACAAGAGTAAATTGTAGTATCATCGGCATAAAAGCCGACTTGGGAACGGACGGCATAAGGAAGATCCTTGATGAAGATTAGAAACAGCGTAGGACCCGGGATAGGGCCTTTGGGGACACCCATGTTCGCGTGAAATGATCTGGAAGCGAACCCGTTCAGAACGATCTAAGA